GCCAGCCCTTTTATCCATTTCACCACCACGGTGAGCTGCTATCCAGCTCATTGGGGGGACAGAATGAGAAGAGGGCGAAATTAATTTCGAGATGGAGCGAACAGCAACAAAAACAGTCAATTTTACATTACGGGCTAGCGCTTCCGGGAGAAATAAATTAGAATAATTTTAAAATGTCCATTGAGAGTTACAAAGCACAAATTCCATGGAAATCAAGCGTTTAATTGGCATCTATTTCAAAGACTTCTGGCAAAACTCTAAGCAACTTCAAAAATTCTTTTTATCTTCTCCAAATCTCTCGAATTGATCAAAAACTTGGAACAATCGGAACTTATTTTTGACTCTATCAATGGGTTCGAAGGAATTCGAATTTTCGTTTGATTGAGCAGCGAAGAAATAGCTCGTGAAAAGAATTCGCTCTCAGAAAGCAGAATATCCATGCAGCACTTTTCTGTGCATATCTCCTATAAAAAACCATTTTGCTATTTTCAAATTCAGGCTTAATCACTTGTAATTCATGCCAGTTCTCTATTCGACTTCATCAATCTTGGCACACTTCTTTTGCTTGAAATGGCGAGAAGGATATGAGAAATTATGCAAACCAATTAAATGACGCGCAAAAATGTCATTCGAGCCCAAATAAAAGAAGGGCTATCGTAGATCTATTCCATAGAAAAAGATGAACGAGACGCACTACTACTTCAAGCTCAGTTTGCTAGGACACAAGCTCGACGGCTCTAGGGAGACACTTCAATCACGGCGAAGAGGTAGCCGAGGTCCAACATATGGCATGCTTTCTGTGTAGACTTCTCCAGGGAACCAAGGTCTCGAATGAGTGACTCGAGAATGCTCCGAAGACGAAATCAACAGTTTCCGGTTGGATGGACTGAGATGTCATTTATGATCATTTACGCTGACCTGCCGGACTTGTTCGCACACTTTTCGATATTCTCTCTGGTCGGCACGGAAATCAGTTTTTTTTACATCCCTGGTTGAGATTTTCACAAAGATTTCATAATTCTTTGAACTCTCGATAGGCTTCGAAAAAACACTTTTTGGTACTTTCTTTCATACGGCGAAATAGGTCAATAGCTGGAGACCCTTGATGGTGCGAGCCGTGCTAGTAATTCGACAGGTTCTGGCTTGATATTCTAGCAAAAGGGCGAAAGTCTTGCACCGGCTGGAGGAGAGGAATACAGGGAATAGAAAGAGAAGGACGAGAAGGAGCTTTCTAGATAAAGATTGCACGTAAGCGCTAACTTTTTATGCACCTGTCTGGCTTTTATAATTTGCCCCCCCTCCCCTTGCCGTATGATTTACGGAAATTCCTTCTGATTATTGGTCAGAAAAGACTTGCATGAATTGTGAGATGTTACGGAAGACGGGTCAAGACGGAGAAGGGCAATCACTTGCGTGTGCCGTCGGTGCCATTTGGTATCACTCGGCTACCAAAGCTGGACTAATCAGGCTTGTATAGGAGGAACAGTTAACAAACTTCGCCTTTTTTCCTGTTTCTTTCCAAATTAGAATAATTTGAGATTTCAGAGGTTGTCGGGTGCGTCGCGTTTCTCTGTGAGTGTAGAGCGTTCACTAAATGGAGGGCGCGTGTTCTGATCGATCGGGTGCAAGCGTAGGTTAGGCCTAGACCAATTATAGATTAGAGCATTAGCAATGTGTAGATAAAGCTTACCTGAGTTAACCAAAGTAAGCTTGAAGCTTCAAGTATCGGCGCAGATGTGGGTGACTGACCCAGGAGGAGAACGACGATTCCTCATACGAGCCTCGAATTGGTGACCAAATTTAGTTGTTTTGCGAATAGTTCCAATTATTCAAAATATTGGAGTTGGAGGCATTTATATGCTAACGTTTTTGTAGGGAGAGTTTTAAGTGGATGCAAGCTATTATCTGTGTTTTAGAAAATCAAGTATATCATTTTCAAATGTACCTTCGGACTTACATATGATTTTTTCATTTGTCTTCTATTAATAAGTGGACTAAGATATAGCGCGTAGAAGATGGAGAATCAAGGTGGGCGAAAATCTATATAGAGAAAAAAGCTGCCAAAATAGGAGTTTTTCGGAAATCCATCGTCATCATCGAACCTTACTCCGGTCGTCCCTTAATTTCAAATCATATTCACGTCGTACAAATTTGAGAATAATGAGGATTCTAAAAACGGGCTCAGTACCCTTTTTTGATTTCTAAACCCGGTAATTTCTTGCGAAATGGAAAAGTCGTAAATAATGATGAGAAGAACATCACTGATCAGTTTTATGCTTGGCTTTGCTTTTGGGTTTTGCTTTAAACGTTTTTGCCGAATGCGAGCGCTACGATATTATGCTCCGACCCAATATTTCTATCATAGAGTCAGTCATTTCAATGAAAAGTAATTATACTAATAATTATATGGAAAATAGTAATGGAAAAAGCAGGAGAATAAGGCAATGTGACAATAATTAACTTTCTTATCTTCCAGAAGAGAGCCGTCAAAACGTAGCAGAATCCCGTGTGTGTCATCAATCTGACGAAATAATACCCTAGAGACGGAGGGCGAGCTGAGATGAGATCTTGGCCAGTGGATCCTCTCTCGGCCCCACACATAGCTCTTCGAGGTGTCAGTTACGGCAGTCGCAATTTATTTTCTCACACCCTCCCTCAGTCTTCAGCTAGATGAACGACAACGAGCGAAAATGGCACAGTGGGGTATTGAATAGACTGAGAAAGTGGGGACTGGACAGTGGGGAAGATTGAGATCACGGGACAGGAACCAACCAAGTCTTTCCCCAGAATGAGGTGAACAAAAGGGCTTTTCGTCCACCGTTGTTCTTCTCGCTGCATTCCTCCGGCCTGGCTCCACTCATCATGGCGGGGGCTGATGGAATGACAACGCAACTCCAGAGGTCCTTTCAATCTCTGAGAAGATTCTGAAGGTTCCAAAACAAAAAAGGAAACCTTCTTTCCGAGTAACTGATGTAATTTGTTGCTCGATCTATCCTAATGGACCAAATAATTGCCCTAATCCTGAGTAGGCAGTATAAGCTACTACAGTAAAACACCCGCTCTCTTCGCTTGGGAGAGTTTCATGATGATAGGCTTCTGGACAGGCCATCCTCCCTTGGTCTTCGAAAATCTTGTTCCGCTCAAATATTCAGCACGTGCGCCAGGATGAGTGCATATTCAAGTATGCCACTTTGTTATTATGTGGCTGTGTCACGCACATCGTATTCTTTCATGAACTTGTGGTAAAGCTTATAGGCTTTCATAAGCCTGAGGGACGCTGTTTAACCTGAAGCTTTAAATCATGGAATAATATGAGTAAGGGAAAACGACCACGAAAGCGCGAAAGTGATGGAAACGAAGCACTCAGGCATATAAAACGCTAGAACGCAACGAGAAAGGTAAAAAGATAAAAGGCTGAAGAGAGCTCATCAAGGAAAGGCGTTCCAAGATCCAAAAAATGCTGGAAATACTTGTTCACAAAAAAATCTCTAATAAACTAGGGTTGTGCAATCCCAATCTGTAAGAGACGATTTGTGAAGTTCTCCAAACAGGACCGAAAAATTTCTCATAAGTTTCTGTAAGAATAAGTACGCCACATGTGCTTTTACGGTGAAATGGAGCTTGGGGGGGGGAGTTCTGTTATCTTATCCGATGTTACAGAGAAAACCTTCAGGCTATGTAGCATTGTCAAATGCACTTTTTGCTAAGGGCGTTATGCCGCTACGGACAGCATACTGCTGACATCCCAGGAAATTGTTGACATATGCTCATCCACAGCGGGGCCTCCTCCACCCTCAATTCCAAGCGATGATGTCCCCCAGTTTCAGGACCATTTCCTTAGACCACCGCAGGCCGAAGTGTGAAAAAACATTAAATCTTCACATTATCGGGCCGACGTGTACTATATTCAAATAGATTATAATAATGTCGATGAACTGTGATTACGTTGTCGTGGAAGCTCTTAGTCCTTATGCTGCGGTTATTGAAGAGTGCCCCCCCCCCGACTCAAGTTTCTGCACTTAGTTAGTACTTAACTACATGGATTAGGTATCATTCCCTCACTAAAGACGCCCTCAATATATCAGTAATATGTCGATATACCATAATATAGTGGAGGAACATCGAGCATCATCAATTTGGGAGTGAGCATTTTCATGAGTGGACATTTGACAGGTTTCGCCTATCGTTCAGGTACTGGCACCGAAAACGTACCAAAACGTTACAATTCCGGAGAAAACACCATAAATTTGCTGATGGCTTCAAACAATTAAGCAAATTTCTCATTGAGACACTTCTGAGGATTTTGGGAAAAAAGAGAAAAACTCAGGCGAAGGAAAAAAATAATAAACATTTCACGTCAAAAACGGAGGTAAAGCCATTTTGTCCATTGAAGCTAATATTATGGATCTGCCTAGTTGAATGATTTAAGATGTGTGTTACATGTTCGTCGATTTGTAATTTCAAAAGGAGGAAAATGAGGGAAGGAAATGCCCTTAGTCGCATGCCCATGACTTCGGTTAGTCAAACAAACTGCAACGGAAGACAGGATGCGTTCCTAGCGCCAGTCCTTCTTCGTATCCCTCTCCCCCAGTTCCTAATTGATGTGGCTGTAATTATGCAACTACTTTCAGCGGCAGAAGCCAGCCGCATTCGCTTTCTCTTCGATGCGCGACCGGCGCGTACTGGCAACGAGGCGCGACGACGGCTTTCGGATAACACAGTCATGAATAATTAACGCATTTAGCGCTTCTCGATAGCCTTTTCCCTTGTGCCGTGCCCGCCTCTTGACTCGAGAATATTCCCCCGAAAACCGTTTTTAGGAGGTTAATTGAGGCCAACGACGGCCAGCCGAATTGCAAGTCTCCGGCTCACACAGTAAACGGCGATAGTGAATGATTTTGTAAAAATCGAAAAAATGACGACAAAAAACATGCGAATCGTTCTAGTAGCAATTAGCGAAGAAAAAAGGTCAAACATAAAATCAATGCCAGCGAAAAGTGCTAAAAATGTATAAATGGAATTCCAACAGTAGAAAGACGAAGCGAAACACCACTCACCACACATGATGCTTCGTGAAGTTTTCCGACCTTGGCGCCGAGGAATGGGCTGAAATGATCAAGAATGAATACTTGGACCAGAGTTTTGAAGAGCTGGCATTGCCATTGATGAAAATATCAACAACAAAATTAAAGTTCTTAACTGAAAAACGATAAAGACGCATCACGAAAGTAGAAAGTTACGCTGGTTATGGCTTCTCTTTGGGCCCAGTTTCCTCTAGGTTATCTTGCCCTGCCCCTACACACACTGTTTCCTCTTCTTCAATTCTGCCTGGGTTGGTTCCGTCAATGATTCTACCTACTGTGCATGAGACAGAAGTGGACAGAAAACAGAATCATAGGTCCTCAATGGTTTGACTATTCATCCTCCTACCGCTCTGTCGCGGTGACTTTATTTTACCATTTGGTGATTTGATTCATGGAAGCCCCCTTCTCCCACGTGAAATAACTATGAATAAGTAAATGGGTGAAGAATTCCGCACCACGTACATTGAATGAAGCATTTCCAATAATAACAAGAATTGAATTCCATAAAACCACAGTGCTGTTTGAATATCCACTGGGCAATTTAAATGTTTGGGTACTGTGACCGTAACTGTCACATGTTGTACTGTAATATACTTCTCGAAATTATGCCCGGCCAGCACAAAGGTGGAGAAATGACCAGTGGCGGTATCAGGTGCGCATGCGTGGGCTAGGGATCCCGGATCGCATTATGCCAGAAGATCGAAGCTTTCTTTCTCCCTGAGATTAGTCAGCCTGGGCTAGCGAAGATGAAATACTAGAAGTACATCGGCTCGCCTCTGCGTGCATCCATATCGTACAAATGCCATCACGGCTCTAAATGATCACCAAATGCATGGCCCATCCCAAAGGGGATTGAACAACGCAGATTGTTCTGCTTGTTTCTTTTTTATGTCTGGTCTTAGGCGACTGGTTCTGATCGCATGATGGTGACCCATGGTTTTCGTAGCCCATTCACTAAAGGAACGATTACTACCGTTCACTCTTTCAACCCCTTCTTCTTCTCCCTACTTTACCTCCGGGCACTCGCAGATCCGCTGCCTCTGTTAGTCGTCGCCACTTTGCTCGCCGTCCACGCATCTTCCTACCGTGGCTCGTCGACTACCGAGTGTTACGGGTATATTCCGTTTCAGTCTAACTTTGAACAACGCCGTGATTCAACTGTAGTGGTATTGTGGAGAGTGACTGGCATTGCACCTCAGTAATGACCAATTCTCTAATTGAACGCTGTCACCTTTTCAACTAAGTGTTAAGCGCATGGCGCACCCCAGAACGATTCATTAGGAACACCGTTGTTACCTTCGCTTTCAACAAATAGTCTTTATACAGCTAAACCGTCCGTTTTTCCACGCAAAGCACCTGCTCGCTGCAAAAACCGGAAATCCTTCATTTGGAAACGCAGATACACGTCCATGATCAACAAGCCCATTAGGCCATATTTGTCACGACTACGTGTCAGCAGACGGGTGGGACGCTTGGTCATGAATGAGGATAAGAAGAGGTCATTAAATTAGTTCCAGGAATCTCAGCTGAGATTATAACGTAGTCACAGGACATGATTACATTTACAAGATTAGAAAAACAGTAAATTATGCAAGCAGAAAAGTGCAAATCGTCGTTGAAAAGCCATCGATGTGACGGCAGCTTTGAAAGTGCAAAAAAGAACTCCAAAGTAAGAAGATAGATTACTTCGTTTGACGCCATAGAAATGTCTGAATTGGCAAGGGCACCGCTTCGCACTCTGATTCCTCGCCATCGTCCACCCTGAAAAAAAAATTGCTAAAAGAAAATCGACTTTCGTTGCAAGGCGAAGAACCGCGCAATAAGAACTTCTCCACATCATTCGCTGCCCTTCCCTCAAATCAAACCCCGCTTCAACAAAGAAGAGACACATCGGCAGCAGCATCGGCCGAGGAGGCAAGCGGCGCCGACGATGGCTCTGACGAGGAAAACACTGCTGCTGCTGCTCGGCCCGCCGTTACTTCCCCGTTACGGGTCCCTCCTCGACTGCAAGTTGCTCTTCCTGATTGCAACTCGATGTTTCGTCTCTTCTTCCAATGCACCACAAACTATCCACCCACATCGCGCCATCAGTGACCGCATTATCTTCGCCAAACAAGCGCCCACATCTTGCCATGCATTTTCGTTTATAAAACACAACGGAGCTCAACAAACAGCGCCACTCGACCTCGTAATTATGCGGGCGGACCTACATGGGCGAGGGACTAAACGCCTCTGGCGGCGGCGACTTTGGCGGCGCAAGGCGAGATGTCGCCGCTTTAGCCCGGCAAAAGTGCTAATAGGCTGCCTGAATCGCGCTCTGAAGAAATCGCTAGGCCACGTCGCATCCATGCGCGAGAAAAAAAGCGAACTCAACGAGGCTCAAAAGCTGCCCTGGGCCCTTTTTAATCTTATCCCAGCTTATCGTATCCTTACGCAGCTACACAACTTGCTACAGTAAACCTTCCAGTGAAGCACACATTTCACTAATTTAACTGCTTATCGCCTCCAACGTGCTCATATTCGCAGCGCAATATCCAAATGACTGCTCACGCAAGCTGTCAATATGATACACCAATGGGAAAGGGAAATATTGTGTCGAATTTCAGCTCAACAACCAACTCGGAGAGCAGCATTAAAAAATTCCCCGCGAAGAGGCGAACAAGCTCTAGATTTCGCTGACGTTGTGTGATCGAAGCAGATTAGGGACTGGCCCTCCACGGGTGATTCGCTACTTCTAAGATCTCTGATGGAGTCAGTCGCGAGTTGATTTGAGGAATCTCTCGGGACCCACACCATAAAATTCGACCACCATGCCAATGGGAAAGGGGGTGGACAGCCAAAGATATAATGGATGACGAATGTGTTGCGACAAATGCTCCTCACCGGGAGGCATCGTTTATTACGGGCTATCCCAGCCGGTCAACGATAGGTAGCCCTCTTTTGCTACCTCTAGCCTAGATTGATTATGAAAATGAGTGGTTTTTCATTGAACTCACCATTTGGTGCTCTTCATCGAGCTGGCGGCTGTGCTCAGCGGCATAAGCAGCAACTGAACGGTGCCCTGATGTTGGTGCTGTAAGTAACGAACGTGCATGGTGATCGTGTAGAAGATTTAAGCGACGACAGAGGCACGAACGAGGGGTCAGCCGCCGATGAACATCGCGTGGGAATATTTGAGAGGGCGGGACTCACTCCGTGAAGCGGGAGAACAACAGCTCGCTAGGGCGGAGCAACTCGTCTCCACACATCGATCGCCTGCGGCGCGAAATTAAAATATCCAAATAAAGAGATGAGAGGCTGGACCTAAGAAACACTCCCATGGGAGTGAGACTTCCACCACCACCAGCTGCGACCCCACCAGCCCGTGGCTCTCATCCTTGCCTCATTCGCAGCTTTCGCCTCGTACTACTACGCATTCGCTATTAGCTGCTTCAACACTCAACTCAAATCGATGTGGGACGCCTTCTGACGAAGGTCATCATTGTGTGGCGGGGCTTCGTTTCCGTTTCGAGGTCAGCTGCGGTGATTGCGATGGCGGTGAAAAAGCGGAAAATCGCATGGATTCGCTGGAAGAAGCGAGAGCTCTTAGAGGAAATTGGATTCATTGAGCACACAGCGGTTGATGGCGGCCGGATGGCGAAAAATCCATCACTTTGGGGCAGCCGCGATGTGCGTGTACGGTGTGTGTGTATGAGTAGGAGAACTCTTTAACGGAACAAGAGCACACGCAGGCACGAAATGTTCGGCGCCTTTGGCGCCAGCGCTACTACACGGACGACAACACTCACAAACACTCGCGCGAGTGAACGCGACGGCGACAAGTTGGCAGCAATCTCACGTCAATCAAATTCGGTGGCGGCTTCTCATGGCAATACTACTCTCTCACTGTGTCTCTCTCGGTTTTGATTTTGCGTATTCAGATAAACAACGTTTCGTCGCGCTTTGATGGGAGCTAGCACGGAAGGATATGTCGGCAAGAAAGACGAGAAAACAATTGCCTATCGAGTTCACGAACAGAAAAATTTCCTTCTAGGGAACTTCATAAGGAACAAGAAAAAATGAAAGTAACTCAAACAAAGAAGTAGCATCCCCCAACAACGATAAAAGCGTATGCGGAAAACTTGGGTAGCTTCGTGAAAATCAGAATAAATTAGGGTACAAATCGCATTTCATACGATTCGTTCACAGGATATTCTAGAAAAAAAAGGATTCATTCACAGTGTGTTTTTAGAAAAAAAGGAAAATAAAAATGCACTGGAAAAGAAAACTTCTCCATAGCGCCCTTTTGTGGCATAACAGAAGCAAGCGAGATTCAGGAGCTGCGTAATGAAGAGACCATCTCTGTAGAACATTTCTGTAATAACCTTCTTCTAGAAAAAGACGTACAGAAAATTCCTGAGCAAAAAACACGCTTTCACAAAAGAGAATATGCAACAAATAAAGATGATTATTCGAAAGGAAGTATGTGAGTAAGTACGTGCAGTATGTGAAAAGAATGACTGGGAGATCCTCAAAAAAGAAATAGCTTGCTCATTGAAAGCACAGATAAAGGGAGACGAGGACACATTTTAAGAAAAAACGTAGGATCAGATTTCTTCACAAATCAGACCAGGCAGAAAACAGCAAAGAGGAAAACCATAAATAGCAATGTCCTTTCCAGATTAAGAGAGCAAAGCAAGCATTAAAGCATCAAAAACGAATTCTAAAAATGCTATAGCTTTCTTGACTTAGATGTCAAGAATGATTTGCGACGCTATAGCTTTCATTCTGAGGCTTTTGAATTGTATGAGTGTTTGCCCTAATGCCAGACAACTGTGGCTTGAGCTAAACCTGGCCGATTCTAATTGATGAGTCACTGTGCAAGTTGCCTGGAGAAAAAACGGTAGAATGACTTCACAATTTTCGATGAGAATCGAGTGCATGGCGCACTCTAAAGAAATCCGTTAAAGTTGCAACCAACATTGTCACTCTATGAGAAGTTAATCAAGCCAGACGGTCTCCCATCGACCTCCTTTCGAAGTTGGATGCACAAGAAAGCATACTTGGTATACAGGGGGGCCAATAAAAAAAGACATTTTGTCTCCACATTCAGATGGATTTAATCACACTTTGCTCAATTCAAACCGAATGGTTCCAACTTAGTATTGAAGAGCGCATTTCATTTATAAGAAAATCTTCATAGTGGCCACCTACGTGGACGGCATCAGAAAAATTTGCCCCGGAAACATGGTGCACTGGTCGAGCTCAATGGGGTCTTCGAAGGATCGTGTACCATAACGACCTTACTGGAAAAGCTAGTTTCCGAGGGGATTTGCATAGTGGGAGCTAATGCCTCTAGAAAACTATCCAACATTGAATCGATTCACGAAATTGCGTAAGAGCTTCAGGCTGAAGCAGTTACGGTAGACCTCCTTGAGCTGACACAGGCCTGACAGAGACAGATATAGAGAATAAAGGGGATATAGAGAGCAGAATGCATATTAATAATCAAATATTGAAGAACTCTAATTTCATGCCCTCAATTGGTTTCGTTAGAGGCAGCTAGTCCACTTTTTCTGGGCAGCTAGTTACTCGTACCTAAACAGTCCTGGTGAATAGCGCTTTTCTCGTGAA